GTGGGAGCTGAGCGAGATGACAGCTCTAGCCTGAAGTGGCAGCTTTTTCAATTTTCCCCCTTTTCTCCTTCCCCAGTAGCACTTTCTGTGGGAGGCATGGATGCTTGTCTGTCTGGGAGGAACTAGGAAGAAACCCTGGATATGTTGCCCACTTCATGAAAGTTTACCCTTTCTGCAAAGGAAGGAGACAGAATCAGTTGAGCATCATGTTTCTAGGTGGAGAGTATCATAGAATCTTTGGGTTGGAAAGGACCTTTAAAGCTCATCTAGTCCAACCCCCCTGCAATGAGCAGATACATCTTCAACTAGAGCAAGTTGCTTAGAGCTCGGTTCAACCTGTAATGTTTCCAGGCATGGGGCATCTACCACCTCTCTTGGCAACCCGGGCCAGGGTTTCACACCCTCATTGTGAAAAATGTCTTCCTTTGATCTAGTCTAAATCTCCCCTCTTTTAGTTTAAAACTGTTAACCCCTTGTCAGCAAAAGGCCCTGCTGAAAAGTCTGTCCCCATCTTTCGTATAGGCCCCCTTTAAGTACTGGAAGGCTGCAGTAAGGTCTCCCCGGACCCTTTTCTTCTCCAGGCTGAACAATCCCAACTATCTCAGCCTGTCCTCACAGCAGAGCTGTTCCAGCCCTCTGAGCATTTCTGTGGCCTCCTCTGGACCCACTCCAACAGCTCCATGTCTTTCTGGTGCTGAGGCTTCAGAGCCGGACACGGTACTCCAGGTAGGGTCTCACCAGAGCGGAGCAGAGGGGCAGAATCCCCTCCCTTGACCTGTTGCCCATGCTGCTTTGGGTGCAGCCCAGAATACTGTTGGCCTTCTGGTCTGCGAGTGCACATTGCTGGCTTACATCCAGCTTTTCATCCCCCAGTACCCCCAAGTCCTCCTCCATGGGGCTGCTCTCCATCCCTTCATCCCTCAGCCTGTATTGATACTGAGGGTTGCACCGACCCAGGTGCAGGACCCTGCACTTGCCCTTTTTGAAGCTCATGAGGTTCACATGGGCCCATTCCTCAAGCTTGGCCCAGTCCCTCTGGATGGCATCCCATCCCTCAGGCGTGTTGACCGTACCACTCAGCTTGGTGTCATCTGCAAACTTGCTGAGGGTGCACGTGATCCCACTGTCTGTGTCATTGGTGAAGATATTAAAGAGTACTGGTCCCAGTACGGACCCCTGAGGGACACCTTTTGTCACCACCCTCCATCTGGACACTGAGCTGTTGACCACCACCCTCTGGATGTGACCATGCAACTCATCCCATCATCTCAGGATACCTGTCCCTGCTTCCACTGCCTGTGCATTTTCTTCTTGCCCTTTTAGTTTGCCCAGCAGGTTTCCACTCAGCCATGCTGATCTCTTGCCTTCCTTACCTGATTTCTTACACCTGGGGATCGAGAGCTCTTGTGGTATATGGAAAGCCTCCTTGAAGTTCTGCCAGCTCTGTTCTGCTGCCTTGTCCGTGAGGGCAGTTTCTCAGGGGGTCCTATTGACCAACTCCCTGAAGAGCTGGAAGTTTGCTTTCCTAAATGTCGGGGTCCTGACTTTATTATTTACCTGCCCCATATCCTTCAGGACTGTGATCTCCACCAGTGCATGATCACTGCAGCCCAGGCTGCCTTCAATCTTGATGTCACCAATTAGCTTATGTGCGTTGGTGACCAACAGCTCCAGTACAGCATCCCCTTTGGTAGGGCTGTCTATTACCTGGCACAGGAAGTTATCCTCCATGCACTCCAAGGAGTCTCCTGGATTGCCCACCGCTTGCCGTGCTACTTTTCCAGCAGCTGTTGGTGTGTTTGAAGTCCTCCAGCAGGACGAGAGCCTGCGACCACGATGTCTCCTGTAGCTGGAGTGAAAAGGCTTCGTCCATAGACTCCCCTTGTTTGGGCAGCCTGTAACCACAAGATTCCCTTTGTTGCCTCGGTCCCTGATTCTTAGCCATAAGCTTTTGACCTGCTTATGGCCATTCCCCAGAGACAGCTTTTTGCACTCTATCCATTTCTCGATGTAGAGGGCAACACCTCCGCCCTTCGGTCCTCACCTGTCCTTCTGAATGGCTTGTAGCCATCAATAGCCACAATCTAGTTGTGGGATTTGTCCCACCAAGTTTCAGGAATGGCGACCAGGTCATAGCTTTCCAGCAGCACGGTGACTTCCAGCTCCTCCTGTTTGTTGCCCAAGCTGTGTGCACCGGTTTAGAGGCACTTCAGCTGGGCTGTTGGCCTTATCACCCTCTTAGAGGAACCTCCTTTAGTTCCTCTGAGGTCTTTCTCTGGTGCAACAAGCTGAGTGGCCTCGCTAGCACACCGTCCTTCTAACCTTGGTATGTCATCCCACAACTTTCTGAGGTCTTTCTCTGGTGTAACAAGCTGAGTGGCCTCGCTAGCACACCGTCCTTCTAACCTTGGTATGTCATCCCACAACTTACCATGGGTAAGCCTGATGATATCCTCTCCCCTTTGAGTCATCCCTCAACTCTCTCATCCTTTCTTCATAGGAGAGGTGTTCCAGCCCTCTGATAATTTTTGTGGCTCTCCTCTGAACCCGCTCAAACAGGTCCATGTCTTTCCTGCGCTGAGGGCACAGGAAACGTGCCTGTGTTGCATCTGAGACGAGCTATTGCTGGGCGGCAGGTGGATCCCTGGTTTTAGGGGGAAAAAAATGCAGGAAGAGAAAAATACCCAGGAAAGTCACTGACAAGAGTGATTGCAGGGGTGGAAGCTGTGCTGTCCCTGCTGTTAGGGCAGCTGTTTGCTGTGTTTCCAGGCTATCAGTCTAGACATCATGGAAACTCAAGGCAGCTCTGAAGCAGCCTTTGAGACAGATGAGCTTTTGGGGAGAAATAACTTACTGGTTTAGTGCAAAAAGCAGTGTCTGGCTTTAATGTGAAATATTGAATAAAAAACTGAAAAGCCATTATAGGCTACTGGATCCAGTTCCTTCTTTCTCGGGTTCATATTCATGTCAATCATTCTTTTCATAGACTTCAAACAAACATTCACTAGTTCAGTTTCTTACCACACTGTTTTTATGGGACAACTAATTTGCCTTGGGAGTTTGAAATCTTTCCAGCCTAAATATATTTATGTCCAATTTAAGCCCATTTGCTGTTGTTCTAGCAGTGTCTTTAGCCTTGATTAGGACTGGTTCCCCCTTGATGTTTTTGGGTGTATGCTGAGAGACGTAAGGTTCTTAACGCTCAGTCCAGTTGGCTTTTCTGGCGAATTTCCCCATATTTTCAGTCTGGTGTCTATGAATTTGTGAAATACATGGGTTTTGTTGTTTATCTTTCAGTTAGTTTACACAATCAACTTACTGCGCAACTGGAAGTGACTTTCTGTAACCAGTGACATTGTATATTCCTTGTTCATTGTCAAAAATAGCAATCCTGTCCTGTTGATTCAGGCACTGAGCAAAACCATCAGCTATCTTGGATACCTGGATGCTGTTATTAGAATACTCTCTAGTCCTTGTCTGGAGACCTAGTTTTCCATTTTCTTTAGAAGTTTTTTGTGTTGAATATAGATATAAGTCTTTAGAGCATTATTAAAATCCAGTGAGACTGGAAGAAAAAAGAAAGGTATTTGTAATAAAAGCCTAATAGACTTCTTCACACAACAAACATTAGTCTAATCTATACCTAGTTTTAACATGCAGTGCTATCTCATGACTACCACATTTCTCTGTCTTACCTGAATAATCCTTGTCTTTCAATACTTGGATTTTGCTCAGCCTCTAGGTTTTGCACCAGAGACAATGTCCTTATGTCTAGAGTCAGGGGTTTCCTTATGAAGATCCCAGCAGTTTTCTGCTACACTGTTGACTGCGCACCAAAGGAAATGGCAAGGAACCTCATTTTAGTTCTGCATTTCCTGTGGTGTGTTTTTGCTTTTTTTTTTTTAAACTTAGCAGAATGGGAACACTCACAGGCTGTTGCTTTTAGAAAGTGAAGGATTTGAAGGGAGAGGTTAAGGAAAGCAAGTCTTCTGCTTCTTTTGCTGCCCGCACTGTGGCCTGACCTAGGCCAAACGGACCTGATGTTGAAGCTAGACACCTCTGCAGCAGCCGCTCTCTGTTCTGGACTTTTTTTTCCAGAGTAGTGACATCTGGAGGACAGCAAATTTGGTTTTCTCCATGAGTCTATGTACATTTCTGTCACCTTACCAGGTCCTTGGTCCTTGGCCCTGACAGATCCCTGACAGAGTCCTGTCTATCCCATTCCTTTCCCTGTATCCTACCACATGCTCCCTATCTTCCTTCTCATGAGTGGGGCAACGTGAACAGTTTATGCTGGTGTCCTGAATATAAGCAATATCAGTTCAAGTTTGACCAAATGTTTTGCTATTGGAAGTGGGCATAATTTGGTATATAGAGGTGGGAGATAGGAAGGAGAAGAGACTTCTGGGTTGCATAGCTACAGTCCTGAGCCTGCCTCTGCAGAGGGCAGGAGAGGAAGGAGCCAGCTGGGCAAAGCAGATGGCTTTTCTGGAATCATGCACTGATTTCCATCAACAGAGCAAAGCCAAGTATTTGTCCAGGGTATTCTGGAAGAGGTGCCATTCTTGTTACTGCATGTTACATTGGAGTGACTCTTAATGTCCCAGTAGTTGTTTGAAATTACACCCCAAAGGGAGCCATGTGGTAGAACTGGCTGTGATGTGATCCCTGTTTCTTTATGCAGTCCCATCTCTCTGCCGCTCAGTTTACTTTGTGGTGGACATCTCGTTCTGATGTGTTCATTGCAGGCAAACTGACTCTTGGTCTTGAGATGTGGTTCAGGACTCAACTGTGAAAAAGGATTTGTTTGTTTAAATGTATTGTGACTTTGGTGCCTTTGAGGCATGGACAGCACAGCTTACACAAATATGTGAGCAGATACATGCAGATGAAGTTTATACTCCTGTGCTTATTCTTTAAGTAGTCATCCCTTGCTCTTCAAGATGTTTTGGGCATTCTGGCTTGCACTGACCTGTAACCTGTGTCCATTCTGCTTCCAGCTGACATTGACTATCGTGCGGCAGACAGGGGGGCTGGGCATCAGCATCGCAGGGGGCAAGGGCTCCACCCCCTATAAGGGTGATGACGAGGTAAGACGCTGGACTGTATAACTATTGAAGCACCCACTTTCAGGGGCTAGTTCTCTGTAGGTGGAGGTTGATGTCTGTATGTGCTTTGTGGCTGGGTTGAGCTCTCAGAGCAAGGTGGGAGAAGCCCTCGACCCACCCTGAAGCAGGAGGCTGGCAGGGCTGAGCAGGCTCTTGCCTCTGGAGCACAACTTATTGTACCTTCCTGCTACCGACCGCAGAGAGCAGCAATGAGAACAGCTGTTTCTTTCCTATCTGTGTCCTCATGTCACAGTGTATGGGGTTGTCTTCCACGCATGTGTTGGCATCAGCTGCATCATATTCTTGTCCCACTGGAAAAGGATTAAAGTGTCATTGCCTTTTCTCCTTTGTCATCTGTGGGGTAGCCCTGCAATGGGATTTCTTTCCCCTTTCTACCAACTCCTGAATGGGGTGATGTTGCTCTCCTGTCCCCGCATCCGGGTTATGGGATTGGCGAGAGATTTCCCCTTTGCCTTAAGTTGAACGGGGTGGAGTGGTCTCTCTTCAGAGGATTGAAGAATGGGCTCCACCTCTTCTAATAAGTAGTTTTGTTTCCAGGGCATCTTTATTTCCCGTGTGTCAGAAGAGGGTCCTGCAGCTCGTGCAGGTGTTCGTGTTGGGGACAAGCTTCTGGAGGTAAGAACCTAGCTACTGTGAAGAAGTAAACAATTCTAATGACTTGAGAGTGGAGGGAGAAGTATGGATTGTGGTATTTATTTGCATTGTGCTAGTTTGTAGGCCACATTAAGCATCAGGAGCTATGCAAGAGCAAAAGTTAGTTCAGTTGGTTCAGTTGGTTGTTTAATTAACATTGCCATTAATCTTTTGCTCCTTTATAATGACAGAAATTGCTCGTGCATTCACTGTCCCCCCAACTCTGAAGTGGTGTGTAACCCAGGTAGGAAGAAATACTCAGCAGTGTGTGCCCGCGTCCCCAACAGGCCGACCACCTGGCTGCTAAACATTTGCTTTGCTGTGTGGGGCAGAAGTAGACCTTCTAAGATAACTTCTTAGCTAGGGAGCCGGCCACATGCCATGCTTGCCTGTCTTCAAATTATTTAAAAACATGCTTAATCATACAGGATTGAGATGCACTTGAGGAAGGATTGATTGCATTATGGAGGGAATAGGTATCACTACAGTGCTGGAGAGAGATCAGAGGAGTAAATGATCTGTATTTTGGGCACTGGCCTGTGTTTGTGTGATCTGGTATGGTGTCTCTAGGTATCTCATTGCGCTCCCACTCACTGCAGCCTACATATTAGCAGTGGAGACCTGGGCATTTGCCTGAGTAGATGTTCCAGTCTTTCTCATCACTTACCTGGCATTGACCATGGTAGAAGTCAAATAAAGTGCTATATGATTCTGTAATTAGAAGTTTTTATACTGCTTCATGAGAAAAACTTGATTCTGGAGTTTCAGAAGTTACCTTTGTCGTGGTTTAGCCCCAGCTGGCAACTAAGCACCACGCAGCCGCTCACTCCCTCCCCCTCCCCCAGTGGGACGGGGGAAAGAATTAGAAAAAAAAACTCGTGGGTTGAGATAAAAACAGTTTAATAGGACAGAAAGAGAGAAAGAAACAACAATGATAGCAACAATAATAATACCAACAAAGGAATGTACAAGAACAAGTGATGCCCAATACAGCAATTGCTAACCAGCCGGCGATCGACAGCCCGTCCCCGAGCAGTGATTTCCGCCCCCCGGCTAACTCCAGTTTACGTACTGGGCATGACGTCGTATAGTATGGGATATCTCTTTGGCCAGCCTGGGTCAGCTGTCCTGGCCGTGTCCCCTCCCAGCTCCCCGGGCACCCCCAGCCTTCTTGCTAGCAGGCCAGCACGAGAAACTGGACTGTCCTTGAGCACGTTATCAACAGTTCTTATCCCAAATCCAAAACATAGTCTCACACTAGCTTCTGTGAAGAAAACCAGCTCTATCCTGGCTGAAACCAGGACAACCTTGTTCACTTCTGCAGTTATCATAGCATTGTCTTGATAATTCCATGAAGTTTAAGTCCAAAAAGGAATATGTGCTTTAGCTAGCCTGGTCTCTTGTATGTTTTAGGGCCTTAAGTGTCACCAGACTTCCTTGTGCTGCATGCATCGTACTGCATTTTGCTGCAGCATGATTTCCAAAATCAGAACTTGAAGATACTGGGAGATGAATAATTACTCCCTTTCACAACAGCTAAATTCATGGCACCCTACTATTTCATGTAAAGTAGATCCCTCTTCAGTTACAGCTTTAGGAAAAGACTATTTTTTTCACTTCTGATTTACTTCCCATGATGCCCGTTCATCTATGCCTCCTGCAAAAGTGGATGTACCCTCACAACATAACTTAGAGATTTCCTTCTAAAAGACTGTGTTATATCCACAAGTAAGACATGGCTGGGGCACATCAGACTTGGGTTCCTTTCTCATTGGCTATGAATTGTAAGGAATACCTCTTTACCCCTAGAGTAGGGGTACAGAGCATGGCTCAGTAATGAAGGCCATGATAGGAAAAAACCCTAAATGCCATGAAGTGGAGGAAATAGATTTGAATATCTGGTTTTCAGGCTGAGTACAGTCTTTCCTGTAAGTGTATGTGTTGTGGTTTAGCCCCAGCTGGCAACCAAGCACCACGCAGCCACTCACTCACTCCCCCACAGTGGGATGGGGGAGAGAATCGGACGAGTAAAAGTGAGAAAACTCATGGTTTGAGATAAAGACAGTTTAATAGGTAAAGCAAAAGCTGCACACGCAAGCAAAGCAAAACAAGGAATTCATTCCCCACTCCCCACGGGCAGGCAGGTGTTCTCCAGGGAAGCAGGGCTCCATTATGCGTAATGGTTTCTTGGGAAGACAGACGCCATCACTCCGAACGTCCCTCCACCCCCTCCTTCTTCTTCGTCCCAGCTTTATATACTGAGCATGATGTCATATGGTAAGGAATATCTCTTTGATCAGCCTGGGTCAGCTGTCCTGGCTGTGTCCCCTCCCAGCTTCCCGTGCACCCCCAGCCTTCTTGCTGGCAGACTATCACGAGAAGCTGGACTGTCCTTGACTACTTAGCAACAACTCAAAACATCAGCACATTATCTACATTTTCTCATCCCAAATCCAAAACATAGCCTTACACTAGCTTCTATGAAGAAAATTAATTCTATCCTGGCTGAAACCAGGACAGTATGTTAATATGAAATGAGGTAGCTTCTACAAAAAGAAGATTCTTCAACTTCGTGGGCCCACACTTTTCATTTCCTCAGTCTTCTGATGTGGTAGGACTCTTTTTCTGAAATCAGAGAAGCAAGGAGCTAATTGGGTTGCTTCCTTGAGAGCTGCAGAACCTGATGTCCTCTCTGCAAGTACTTTACTACATTTGCATGGAGTGGAAGGAAAAGAGTGTTTCAGGGTATGAGGAGTTAGATGTCCTTCTTGAAGGTGAACAAGAAGTTGTGTCGACCTGAGTTGTATTGAGATTTGTTAGGGGAGATAGTTCTGGGTGGGTGATTATCTGTCTGGGAGTTTGTTGCCTGCAGGGATGATACAGGCGACAGGGAAGTTGGAGCTCCCTGTGGGGGAGAATTCCTTTGAAAGGGCCTTTACTGTCCTTGGCAGGGGCTGTCCTGGCCTGGGACAGGCAATACGTGTTGTGGGAGCCTCCTGTGCCACTTGGTGGGCAGCAGGCGAGGTCTGGGTACCCCTGTGGGAACAAGATGTTGACCCAGCTCTGCAGGGGTTGAGCTGTGCTTCTGCTGGGCAGCAGTTGCTAAGACTGTCTGGGCAGCTGTTGGAAGAACTTCCCACAGAGGTAAGGGTTGTGCTTGGCTCGCTCTGTCCCCAGGTGAATGGTGTGTCCCTGCACTGTGCTGAGCATCATGTGGCAGTGGAAGCTCTGCGTGGGTCGGGAAGCTCTGTCTCGATGACAGTTCTGCGAGAGCGGATGGTGGAGCCAGAGAACGCCATCACTGTCACACCGCTACGCCCTGAGGATGACTACAGCCCTCGTGAGAGGCGAGGTGGTCTACGTTTCCCAGAGCGACCTGAGGGGGCACCTCCCACGGAGAGATATTCCACTTGCCTCGTGCGCAATGAGAAGGGTCTGGGCTTCAGCATTGCTGGTGGCAAAGGCTCCACACCCTACCGGGCTGGTGACACGGTCAGTCATGATTCCCTGGGAAAGAAGGTGCTTGATCCCCGAATCTCAGCACTACTTGTGAGAGCAGCACGGGGTCTTCCTCACCCATGGACACGCAGCAGAGCAGCATGGCCCTGGGCTGATGGGCCAGGCAGTCTCTGAGAGCCAGAAAGTACTCTTTAAGTCAGGGAAGGAGAGAAGTTCAGAGGGAGGTGGGGCTGGGGCTCATAATCCCTGCCAATGACATTTAATCTTGCTGCTGTCCTCTTGACATATATTCTGGGCTCTCGGCCACATGAAGGCTTTGCTGCCGCTGGAGGTTTTGCAGGTGGCTCTAGAAGCAGAAGAGGGTTTGTGTGGTGTGAGGAACAAATGGGAAGTGCCAGGGCAGGGGAGGGGTCTGTGAAGGGGAAAGGGCTGAGACTTGTCTGGGGTCCAGGAACGATTCTGGAAAGCCAGACCCTGGTAAGGGGAAGCACAGGCTGCTCTGACTCTTCTGACTGTGTTTCAGGGGATCTTTATCTCACGGATTGCAGAGGGTGGTGCAGCCCATCGGGACGGGATCCTGCACGTAGGAGATCGGGTCATCTCGGTGAGTGTGGGTGTGCAGGGAAGGGGTCTGACTCAGCTCCCTGCCCTTCCTCATACAGGGACTGTTTTTCTGTCGTTGAATCTGGATTTTGAGGGTCCTTTTTTCAGCTCCTGAGCCTTCTGGGAGAGCACTTAATCTTCGTCGTTCTGCCCCTGCCTGTGACTGGTGGTGGGTGCAGTTAATGCCTCCCCTTTCCCCAAGCATTGCGTGAGAGCACTTTCCCACAGGAGCAGCATGTGGCAGTCCGGGCTGTACTGGAGAGAGATGATAATGACAGGATTGCCGTAGCCTGATGTCCCTCCAGAGCCTTGTAGGACAGCCTCAGAGGGCTCTGCCACAGCATGGCGTGTGGGGAAGGAAGCCCTTTGGGGCATAGCTGACCAGCTCCCTGTAGAGAGCAGGGTGGCAGGGGTCAGTGTAGGCTGAAGCAGAGAGACGCTGCCTGAAGGTGGTATAGGGCTGGGCAGGGTGTACCGCAGTGCTTCCCCCTGCTTTCATTGAAACTCTGGCTCCAGTTTACCTTCCTGTTTATGCCAGTGGTATGGATTTCACTGCTGCTTCTAACCTCAAGTCTCTCTGCCTAATGTGTCACTTGCTCCCCTTCCTGCGGGGAGAGTCTGCTGAGTCTCCTGACCCTCTTCCCAAGCTCGCATGCTGCCTCCGAGTGAAAGCTCCCGCATCCTGGTGCTGGTGGTGGGTTTCTGATCCAGCTGTTGTGGTAAGAGCACGTGTTACCACAGAGCTGGTGTGAGTAAACACTGATACAGCCTTGTCAGTGCTGGCTTCTGTCTGCTCTATCCCAAGGCTGGAGGCTGTGTTGTATTTGCTCTGGCACAACATTTTAGTGGAGCTCTGGCCCAGGTCTGACATTCGTACCTTGGCAGGAGACTTGAACTGGTACAGCATCTCTCCCTCCTTGCTAGTGCTCCCCCTTCCTCCCAAAATCAAGCCCTGACACTGATTATTGCCAGACAGCTTAATTTATTTTGGTTTTGCTCATCTTTTGATGCTCCACTGGTACAGAGGCATGACTGAGAGGCATAATTGCAAGTACACAGCCTATCATATGGTGTTGATTTGCTCTACTTGTGGCAAGAAGGAAACACAAGGTCTCAGAATAGACTCAAAAGTCAAATGTGTCTCCACCCCCCATTAGCAGCTCTATTTATATTTGTGGGCAGCTTCATAGGAAAGCAAATCTAATTCCCTAGTAATAGCTTGCAGTGTCTTCAGACTGCAATGTATGGGCTCAGGGCTTACATGTATGGGCCTTTGTTAGATTTTAATGTGGATGAAGGCCGTGCTGTCATTAATCCTCTGACTCACCCGCTGCAATGATGAGTGCAGTGTTATTGCACAGGTAGAAGATGTATCCATGCTTGAGAGCATGGTCCCCTGCTCTCAAGGATGTTACCTGTCCTGATGTGTGTAGTCATAAAAGGTTTGGTGCTGAGCATCACCTGCAGCTGAAATCTTGTGCTCAGTTATGATGAAAGCAGGAACAAATTATTATCTTTCATGAGAACACTTACCTATTCTGGACTATTCACATAACTTCTGTATCTTCCACCTGACTTGCTTCTGAGCAGCCATGCCTCCTGGCAGCAGCTGCTGTTCTGCCATTCCTGTTTGTGGGGTTCACGGCTAAGTATGATATCCACATAGAGGTAGTGTGACATTCTGAGGCTTCTCATATCTTCTTGGAGATATTTGTCCTTGAGAATATCTGCTTTCTGTGAGAGATGCATGAGCAGCTGTGTGAGTTTAGCTCAGTCTCTGGTGAAATCTGGCGGTAGGTTAGAGCTGTGAGGCTGCCCTGTCCCAGTGATACTGGATGGTACTGACGAGAAAAACTTGGGGGTGTTGGTTGATGAGAAGCTCAGCATGACCTGGAAATGTGCGCTTGCAGCCCAGAAGGCCAGTCGTATCTGGGCTACATCAAAAGAAGCGTGACCTGCAGGTTGAGGGAGGTGATTCTCCCTCTCTACTCTGCTCTGGTGAGACCCTCCCTGTGTCCAGCTCTGGGGCCCCCAACATAAGAAGGACATGCATCTGTTGGAGTGAGTTCAGAGGAGGGCCGTGAAGATGATCAGAGGGCTGGAGCACCTCTTCTGTGAGGACAGGCTGAGAGAGCTGGGCTTGTTCAGCCTGGAAAAGAGAAGGCTCCTGTGGGACCTTATACAGCAGCCTTCCAGTACCTGAAGGGAGCCTACAAGAAGGCTGGAGATGGATTTTTACAAGGGCATGTAGTGCTAGGACAAGGGGTAATGGCTTTAAACTGAAAGAGGGTAGATTTAGATTAGATATAAGGAAGAAATTCTTCTCTATGAAGGTGGTGAGACAGTGGAAGAGGTTGCTGGAAGAAGTTTTGTATGCCCCATCCCTGGAAATGTTCAAGGGCAGGCTGGATAAGGCATTGAGCAACCTGGTCTAGTGGAAGGTGTCCCTGCATGAGGCAGGGGGTTTGGAACTAGGTGATCTTTAAGGTCCCTTCCAACCCAACTATTCTATGAATTTGAGAGAGAGTCTGTTCACTTCAAAGCAGTGTCTGCCCAGCATTGCGTGAATTCCCTGTTTACCACAATTCTTTTGAAGCAGTGGTTACCCATTTTTATTGGAAAGCTTTTCAGGATGTGATGCTTCCTGGGATGTGCAGTGCAGGTTGCATGTGTTCTTCTGTATCTGCATGGGGAAAGCAGGGGAGCTGTCATTAGGATACAGGTGGTTTCATAGGTCCAGCAGGTACAGGCCCATTTCCAAAGCCATATCCTCCTAGTCATGCCTCAGTTCTCACTTTGCCAAAGAATTTTTCTTTTCTTAGAAAAAGAAATACAGCACAGCTTCATACTCTTCCCCTGTGCTCTAAATTATCCTGGACTTCTCTGCAGAGGAAGGACTGGGATAGCTCCTTTTAGTTTCTTAAGGGAGCTTTGAGTACATGGATTGAAGAGCCCAGCCTAGGTCTCTCTTCAAAGTTAACACCCCACAAAACTCACCAGTGATTGACTACTAATTCTCCGGCTTTCCCTGTATTCTAGTGTGTCTTTAGAGTCATCACAGGCATCTTGAGAGTCGTTTTGGCGGTGGAAAACATGGGGCAGGGAGCTGCAAGGGGGGAATGTTGGAGAGTTTGAATTGTAGGATGGGAATCTAGCAGGGAGGGTGCAGGATTGGGAGCAGTGGCTAAGGCAGCTCGTTTTTTTGGGATAGGAGTGGGAATAGACTGAAGAAAACTGATTCTGGGTGAGATTTAGGACAATAGTAGCACCAAGCAACACATGGAGTCCACATGTTCCACATGCTGGGAAGGCATCATGATTGCCAGGTAATGGAGAAGTTAATGAGTAAAATGCCATCAAGAGCTTATATACAATATACCTCTGGCTCAGGGAGTTTCTCTGTCCCTGTTCACTAGTCCGGGGAAGTACCACTGTATACTTTTGGTCTGACCAAGTCTGACCGTTCTCATCTTCTTGTCAGTGGCAGAAAAATAACAGAAGGGAATGCGTGAAGTCAAGAGTGCATGCTGTTATGGCAGGTCTGTCTGTGGGGTATGTTGGTCCTTGATCTGGTAATAAGAACCTAAGGGCCAAGTCTCTTCCGCATGTCATCTTTCTTAAAAATGGGTGTATCTCACAGATGGGAGGACCCAAGGGGATCCTTCCTTTCTAGTCTACTGGACACAAGGCTGCTGCTTTTCCCCATTCCCAGGTCCAGCCATCAGGAAGGCTAAGTGCAGATGAAACACTGCAGACATGGCTGGCCACAGATTTACACAGACAAGGAGGGGGGCAGTACCTTTACAGGTGCACACATAAACACAGACAGTCCTCATGGGGCATGAACAACACAGACAACTTAACCCTGTTCCTACCCTCTGGCTAATCAGGCTTAAGGTTTGCCAGTGGAACATGCACATATACTCCCTCACTCAACTCGCATAAATATTCATGTTTGCAGGTCTTTTCAGACTCTGGTCCAAGCATCAAATTCTTCAAGGCTCTTTGGTCAGACAGTGAGCCTTTTATCCAGTTTCTGGGCCAGCTGTTGGATCTTTCCATGTTTTGGATTCCTAGTTGCTGGCTAGTCCAACTTGAATTTTACTAGTAGATCTTGCACACATGCCCAGAACAGAGAGCAAACTCACACAGTAAATACAAACAGAGTTTGATAAAAAGATAGAGCAAACTATGGTGATCAGGCACAGGGCTTGGCCAGACAAGCATTACTGACCAGCAGCCTGCTTGCGTATGATCAGCCTCTTTTATTCTCTACCCTCTCCATTTTCCCATGCTTGTTCCTCCACTCTTCTCCTTGGCCACTCCTCTTTCCCACCTGTGATCCTTCTGCTAAACATCCTATAACAAGTTTTGCACATGCCCACATTCCCCCTTAAAAGTTCCTGTAGCAGGTTTGCTCTTTCCTGTGAGAGCTGTTCTGCTAACCCATGATAATCTTGATTTCCTCTGCATATTGACCAAGTTTTTGGTCGCACTTCTTTAATGTTACCATTTGAATGATTCCTTTAATGATCCATCCATGAGTGTCTTGAGTCTTGTGTTATCTGCATTTCATTAAGGTTTATGTACCTGTGTGCTTAATTTATTATCTTTCCTGCTTATTGCCTTGTCTCTTATGCTCAGCAGCCATTACCCAGGTACCTTTACATCCTTTCTCTTCCTGCATGCATGTGCAGGCTGGCATGCCTTCACATCCTTCTGTTTGTCCTCTATGGTTGGTGCCAAAGGTGTCCCTTTGGGGACACACCTCTGAGTAGAGGAGACGCTACTGGGGCTGAGTGTTTCCTGTTTGTGTCCAACACAGCATAGGGCTATCTTCTTCTCTGTCATAAGGGGAGCAGCACACTTGACTGTGGATAGGATGGGGCAGGTCAGGTGAGGGGGGGTGGGGGGGTGGTGTTTATGGATGTTCTGGACAAAGCCTTGTTGGGCTACAGGCAGTCAGCTTAGTCCAGAAACTGCTTTCTCGGAAGGAACTGGGGAGTAACTATAATATTTCTAGGAATTGGACAATGAGGAATCAGGCTACAAAATCCAGTTGCTATGGCTGTTACAAAGTCACGTTATTATTTCGTAAGCTGATCAAACTCCATCTTAAAAGCTCGTATTTTCCTGTTCATTTTTATTGTTCATTTTGGAAAGCTTTTCCAGAACCTTAAGGACTAGAAACATTTTAATTTTCAGCTTCAACTTTTTATGGCAAGTTTTGTCCTTTTGCCAGTGTTGTTCTATATTCTGTCCCTCATACATTCATAGAGAACAGTCACATTCTTTCTGGTCCTTTGAGTTTCTAGGCAAGCTGTTTCAACTCTTAATTTTGTAGGAAAGGATCTGTGTTCCCCTGCCTGTCTTAGCAGCTTTTCTCTGTACATCTTATTAACTTACGTTAGATAATTTTTTTGTGTGTGAAGGATGAGAATTGTATACAATTTTTCAGATGAGTTCTCTTCAGTGCTTTATATGAATGACATTGCTGCTTTCCTGTACGTACTGAAGTTCCTCTTTGTATGAAGCATTATGTCTTTCACTGATAGCACAAGATGACTGTAGTTGTATTCTCAAAATTATTTGGCATAGTATATTGGATAATGTTTTCTTGTCCAAAAGAATTCTAATTTTCCTTTTGTGTCAGCCAGTCAGTCACTTTGGACTAGCAGACTCTTTCTCAGTGCTTCCAAGTCTTTTTATACCTGGGGGACACTTTTTATGGCTTAAAACTGACATCTTCCCCAGGCTACCATGACCTTGCCCAACATGGGCAGACAGCAGCTCAGTGGCCAGTGACGGGTCCTGTCGCACATCGGATCATGCTCTTCAGTGCCTGTGTCTGGGCTTTGAGAGTGATTGATAAGGGCAAATGGCCTAGTGCAAAGGCAGCTGATGCTATGGCACATTAGTGTGCCGTGGCATCACTTCTGGGAATCACTGTTTTGTCATCTTGCCATATTGAGATCTTTGGACCCCTTCCTTTAATGCAATCTCTTGGGGTTCTTTTCTTATGACCCGGTAGGAAAGCTGGAATACAAAGCCAAGAAGGAGTGACAGGTACTCTGTTGCTAATGATTAAGCCACAGCCTAGTCTTTATGGGAGCTCTGAGCAACCTGCTCTAGTTGAAGTTGTCCCTGCTCACTGCAGGGGGGTTGGACTAGAAGACCTTTAAAGGTCCTTTCCAACCCAAAGATTCTATGATAGTCCGGGCAACAGCTAGGTTTGTAGTGCTCCAGGAGGTGGAGCATCATACTTGGTTTTCATGGTCCCCTGGAGCATCATGGATGCTGTTAGGACTTGGGAGGTGTAGAGGAAAGGTGGGAAAGGAGCTGGTAAGCTGTCTAGAGAGAGGATTGTGGTGAGGTGGGGATGAGCAGGTGCCTGTGTCCCTTTGCCAGATAGGAAGGAGTGGGGTAAGTTACAAAATGCTTTGGGGAACAGGCTTTTGAGAAGGGGCAGTGTTCCAGCAGAATGGGGTCCCTTAAGGTGCTGGGCTAAGTGCTTAAAATGACAAGGTGTACTTGGGTGCTGGTCTGACACTGAGTTTGCGGGTTGTTCTAGATCAATGGGGTAGACATGACAGAAGCCAGGCATGATCAGGCAGTAGCGCTGCTTACTGCATCCTCCCCCACCATCGTACTGCTGGTAGAGAGAGAGGGTGCAGAGCAGCTCAGCGAGGGAGACTCGCCAGGTGTGCCACGAGTGCGCATGCACTCGCCACCACCGCCTCCCAGCCATGGCGAGAGCCCACCGGAGGAGACGCCTTCGCTGCAAAGGAACCATCTGTCTAAAGGCCTGGAGGATCAATATCCCATTGAGGTGAGTGTGTCTGGAATATGGGATAGTGTAATCTCGGGTATTTTTCCTTTGAAAAATTGGTAGTCTTTGACTACCCCTAGATGAGGACTGGCCCACTATGGTACTGGGACGTTGAGAAATAATGGGAAACGCCCTTGTCCTGTGAGTGCTTATCTTGTGTTCACTCATGCAAAACATTCCTGACTCCATGTTTTTCAGTGTTTGTGGTCCTTATGTGATATCCCTTATGCCCTTTGACTCTGCTTCTTCTTCCCTCAAGGAAATTCACCTTGTAAAAGCAGGTGGTCCCCTGGGACTCAGCATCGTAGGAGGCAGTGACCATTCAAGCCATCCCTTTGGTATTCATGAACCAGGTGTCTTCATTTCAAAGGTAGAGTCCTGTGTGAGCAGCCTAGCAGTGGACATTTTTGAGATGTTTAATTATTGGGGATAAGATGAAGGATTTTGATGCGAGAGTCTGTGAAGTATGTTACAGATTTAAAAAAAAAAATGGGATGGCGGAGGGATGCGTGCATATGTAAATGGTTAGTAGACCATTTACTAGACATAATAGTTGCAGAAATCTGAATGGCATGTAAAAGCCTGCAAACCTGTATACTTCATGCTGAACTGTTTGGGGAGAGTTAGCTTTTGAAATTGCTGAGCTTATGTTAGCTTTTAATGAATCCTGGAAAGATACAGGCATTTCAGAAAACCAGTCGTTACTCAGAAAGTGTTAGTGGGATGAATGTGTAACTGCAAGGGAAAAAAGAAGTACTCTTCTGCATTCAGGCCAGTGTCCTTCAACCTGACATCCTCTTTCCAGTGGACGCATTAGCTGATGCTCTTTAGAGACAGCACCCAAGCCAGCCACTTGCTGCAGCTCATTCCCTTTACAGTTCCTCACATCCACACTTGTTGGATTAGGGATGTTAGAGAGGATGTCCCTACCCAGCCCCTTCTGCATCCGTATGTCTCTTGTCCCTTGGGCGTGCTGAATCTGTCTTCTGTAACACCCATGGCTGCAAGTCCCAAAACATCATTACCTGTCACCTGAAGAAGCAGTCTTTGATCTGCTCTAAAACAGTGTTACACTGAGTGCTCCTCCATTTTTGTGTTGCCAGTTTGGTAAACAGAAGTTCTATATTCAGCTTAGTCACCACCTTCAGTGTTGTAAAGCTCATTCATTCTCCTTCCTTTGCTTTCTTTCCCAACTCAAGTGTTCTGGCCTTCTTTTCTCCTTGCAAGGTGCTGCTGCATCCCCTCATTATTTTAGTTGCCTTTCTCTGGACCTTCTCTAACCCCACTATGTACTTCTCAACATGCGGCATCACAGGATCATTCAAGTTGGAAAGGACCTGCAGAGGTGATTTCATCTCACTGAAAGCACAGGGCCAGCCTCAGCTTGCTGAGGGCCTTGTCTAGTCAAGTTCTGGGTATTGCCAAAGATGAAGATCTCGCAGCCTTTCTGGGCTCCTCTTCCAGTGTTTAACTACTATTATGGTGAATGTTTTCTTCCTAATACCCAGTCAGAATTTTCCTTGTTTCAACCTGGATCTCTTGCCTGTCTCCCTATACCACTGGGTACCTTTGAGAAGAACCTGGCCTCTGTTTTCTCTGTACCATTGTACAGGTAGTTGAAGACAGCAGCAACTGTCTTTTAGCTTTCTGTTCTCAAGAATGAAGAACTCTAGGTCTCTCTGCCTCTCTTTGTACAATGTATTCTCTATACCCCTGTTCATCTTATTGGCTCTCCACTGCACTCACTCCAGTTTATCAGTGTCTGTCTTGTACCCCAGATGTAACATCACAAGCACTGATCAGTGGGGAACGATCACTTCCCTCAACTCACTGGTTACACCCTCCCCTGTTGCAAGAGCGCACTGCAGACTTAGCTGTCTTTCACAGTATACTGGATCCGAGCCTCTGGCTAGCAACAAGCCTCCTGAAACAGCAAGTCTGTCAGATGTGTGCCTCTGTCCCTTGCAGAAGTGGTTTCCAGTAGGTTTCACGTGATGCTTCCTGTTGGTGCTGACACGTGGTTCATTCTGGTATGGCTCCAGTGCTTCCTTTTGAGTAGTTTGTTTCTCCTCATCTGCTACAAGGCACTATACCTATCTTTCACATGCGTGTCAGTAGAGAGAAGGACTCTTCTCTCTGTTGCCAGCAATCTCAAGCTTCGAGCCTTCCCCAGCTTGGGAACCTCTGGTGTTTGTTTAAGCATAGCCCCTAGCTGACCCATCCATACAACATGGGATTTGGACTCCTCTCTACAGGGTGTCTGCAAAGAGCCTGTTGCTCTCCTGTTCGTTTTCACTGATGCCATGCAGTGGGCTCATCTCATCTTGTAGCTTCTTCACTCGCCAGCTCAGCACCTTGATAAGAGCACACCTTCCAATGGTGAAGTCCCAGGTACTCCTTGTAGCCCAAGACCCTGTAAGCTGCATTCTTCCTCTAAAGCACCAGGGATCCTCCGGCTGGTGCTGGGGACCCTTACCCTGTGGCATATCACCATCATCCTTGCACAGTCCTAGGCGCAGTTTCTGGGTCCCCTTCTGCTCTGCCTTTTTGGGAGCAAAGAATTGAACAGTCCTGGAGATACAGGAGATTCGGTCAGTCTGGGTCTCAGTGCCCTTTCTGATGATGCCCAAAGTTTTGTTGGCTTTTTTTGTCTCTTCCTGCATATGGAGCCCATGATTTCAGAAAACATGTGACAATGTCTCTAGAAACTTTGCTGAATTGCTGTTTCTGAGTTCAGTGTTGTGTGTGCATGGCTTAAGGTGTTTTTCCATAGACTCATTGTCTGTGCTGAAGCTCATGCCGTTTTTGTCCAGTTTTCTTGATCCCTTTTGAAGTTCCCCACCATCAGGGTGGTATTTGGCTCCTCAAAACAGCACAGTATCATCTGCAGACCTGGAAATTTCACTGTTCACTGTCTTTCTCAGGTCACAGATGGACATGCTGAACAGCACCATCCCACACCAATCCCTCAGGCATGCCACCAGTGAATCTTTCGTGTCCTGAGCAGCAGCTGTCCAGCCCTGCCCTTTGTTTCCTCTCCTTTAACCAACTTTCACTCCATTAAGATGGCCTTTTCTCCCATCCAGTGGACACAGCTTCTCTAATAGTCTTTAGCTTCAGACTTTCAAGGGCCGTTCTGTCTACCAGATTCTTTCCTTCATGTGTTCATGTTTCTCTCACAGCGCTTCAGTAGGTGAATGAGGCAGGATTTGCTTTTACCAAAGCCAAACTAACTCTTTCCCAACAAACCCTGCTTATCCACATGTTCACAGATCTTACTCTTTCTTTGTTGACTCCGTTGTTTTACCAGGAATAGAAGTTAGGTTTCTTGGTTAGTAACTCTGTAGCTCTCAAGATCAGTTCTTGAGGACTGGAGTTGTACTGACACTGTCAGTCCTGGTACAGTGGCCATTTGTAATGGTAGATGATGCACTTCTGACAACGGCCCTGCAGTTTAACATTTGAGTTCCTTCAGAGTTCTTGTGAAAAAGCTGTCTTCTGGTTACAGTCGCAGGCAAAATAATGGAAAAGCTGACACAGGATTGTTTCAGATGGAAATAATAATGTGAGAATATAAGAAATTATGGAATGACACTTTAAAGCAAACCTTACTTTGTTCTTTGCCAGTGTTCACAGATGTGTTACCTCTTGGGGAACTTCGCTTGCAGAGAGTGAAGTCAAAACAGGCCTCAGAGGATGTTGGAGGATAGCCTAGTGATCACAATCAGTGTCTCTCCAAGGAGGGGTGGAATTTCCTTCTCTAGTTGTAATATGAATGATTCTTCGTAGGTCATTCCCCGTGGACTGGCATCTCACAGTGGACTCCGTGTAGGGGACAGGATCCTGGAGGTAAATAGTATTGACCTGCGCCATGCTACCCACCAGGAAGCAGTGAATGCCCTGCTCTCCAACACCCAGGAGCTGACTATGTTAGTAAGGCGAGACCCACCACCACCTGGGATGCAGGTACGTTCTAAGTGAGAGAACTAGGGGGAATTGCACTCTTCTTTATAGCAGGATCACTTTTGAAGGCAATTTCTTATCTAGCTGGAAGTCTGGGGCTAGGATACAGCCAAATTTCTGGTTGAAATTTCCTGCTCCTGTGGCAGAATCTAGTCTCTTGTAAGTATGTATCAGTTGAGGACTCTCAAGGGTCTCTTGCCATGACCATGGTGATACTGTGATCAGAGAATGATCAGATTTCATGAAGACCAGACCTGAACAGGAGACAGAAATGCAGAAAAGGGCAGAGCCTCATCAAAAGGAATGAACTGTACTAAATGAGTGAAAGGTCTAATTTGGGTCCTTTTCAGGGTATTTAGAATATGGCCAGCTACTAGGAGTGTTTTCTCAACAATTCCAGTCTGAACTTGACCCAGAAACAAGGAGACCTTTTCTGTTTTTACAGGAAATATGTATTGAAAAGGCTCCAGGAGAAAAGCTGGGCATCAGCATCCGGGGTGGAGCAAAAGGTCATGCTGGAAATCCATTTGATCCCACTGATGAAGGCATCTTCATTTCTAAGGTACCAGACCACTAACTCTGCCACTTGGCTGCATGCAAGGACTGCTAGGGAAAAGGGTGATCCCTGTGGAATTTGTTGGATATGCTCTCTCCACTTTTCACTGGGTACATCAATTCTCCTGGAGTATTCTCCATGCACTGAAGGAGGCACATCTGTTCCCTTTTGTATTTCTTCCTCTACAACAGCTACAAAACATCTTCTTTTAGTTCTTATGTTTGCTTTTATTTTGCCTTAAGTTTCTTCTCTTGCTTTTTTTTTCTATAACATGAACCCATACATCTTTCGTTTTCCCCTCCATGCCTGTTGCTTCCCCTAAGTGCTTGTGGCCATTCTACCCACTCAACATGCATGCTCTTTCCTCCTTTCTTTGAAAGCATTATGAATTGCTCACCTTTCCTCCTGTGCCAGATACCGCGTGTGTAATTTTGTTCCTTTTCTTTTGTAAATGACTGCTTGTGTGCATACTTACTTGTCATGTCACTTTTCCCCAGGAAGTAATGCATATTTTCTTTTCAACAATACACTGTGTATAAGCTTATGTTCCTCCTGACCCCTACCAAAAGGCATTGCCTACCAAAAAGTCTTTCTTGTTAGCAGCAGAGCATAGTGATAAGTGGTGTAATTTTCGATCTTGATGCTGACCACAGGTGGACTCTGGATGTTCACATTAGTGTCACTCATTCCCTCTTTGGCTGGTATGGTAGGGTAGAAACTCTGCTCTAGCTCTAGATGTCTTAATAATCCTTGCTTGATGGTGAACACTCTATATTTGCCAGTTAACCCTTTCTAATAATTGGCACTTTCAAAGAAAGCGTATACTCAGCATTTGTTATTACTTGGATATAACTTCTTTATCTGAGTTTTAAAGTTAAAAGAGTAAATTCACTTAAAGAAATAGTTACACATTCAACTACAATATTTGAAATAGCAATAAAAGAAAACTACTAAAAGTAACCTACAGTTATTTTTAATGATTAGGTTTGTTTTTATCACCTTTAGTGTTATAGAATTTAGGGTTTGGAAGGCTTACAGTTTAGCCCCATTGCAAGGGTTAGTGTCCTGTCCCCCCTGGCTTTTTTCTTTTTTTTTTTTTTTTTTAAATAGTAGTTGTTTTAGCCTTTGGAGAACCAAAGCACTGAACGTTTCTGCTCTCCCTTAAACTGTGTTACTTCAGTTTGTTCTCTCTTATCTGTCTTAACCAGAGTGTTTTTCCTGCTTCTGTTATTTTGTCTGTATATTTCCAGTAACTGAGAGACAAGGTAGTGCTTTTTCTTCTTCCTCCTCTTTGGATGTCTGATTACTATCTTCTTTCTCCTTAGTTTTTCTTAATTTGCGTTTCCATTGAGTCCCTTAATTGTATTTTTTTAAAAAAGTTGTAATCTGGTTCTTCCTTTTTAAAACCTCCTTTATGAAGTGTTACAAGTTGAATACCATGAGAAGTATAAATTACATCTACAATTGGAAATTCATGATCTCTCTAAATGGGGATAGCTCAGTGTCCCTCAGTGACATATACATATCAATAATACAGATGACAGTTGGCATTAAGGACATTTTTCTACATTAACTTCACCTCCTCCCATTATTTCTGGGTGTTCTACTGTCACACTTATGCACTTGCTCTCCCTGGAAAAGAAATTGTGAGTACTCAGTCTTTTTCCATTCAGCTGCATGTGACCACTCTTATGCATGCACACGCACTCATACACACTTAAATGTTTTCCTTCACAGTCCTGAAGAAATTATGTGTAGGCATGCATGGCTGCTTACCCTTCCCTCAAACCTTTAAAAAAAAAAAAAAAGAAAAAAAAAATGCATGCAGCATTTTTTCTTCTCTTTTTACCGGTACTTTATTAAACACATATCTGTTGTTTTTTTGCCTCCAAAACAGCTCTCATAAATCCAATAAACACCCATGCCTTTGGTTTCTTTTGGGTCTTTTTGCCTCTCTGATCCCAGTAATGTGGTGTGTGGTAGTCCTTTCTTTCTTTCCTTCTTCTGAGGTTACCTGTGCCTCCATCCTACCTTGACAACCAGTCATGCATGTCCTTGTATTTCCCCCACCCAGGAGCCAACTTTGTGTGTTCTTGTGCTCTCCTTATTCTCTTGTCATAGATCTACAGGCTTTGCTTGAGATCCCTGATGCTGACATATTCTTTCTGTGAAGCCCTTGTGTAACACTGGTCATAATTCTCTTTGTAAATCTTAGTCCTGTTGGTTCTTTGGCTTTGAGACTGGGCCTTTGAATTGAAGCCGTTCTTTTGTCTCTGGTGTTCTCAGTAAGGACTGTCTATATACAAAATGTACCAAGGTCTTCATTTGATCTAGCTTGACTGTGTATACATCCCATTTTGTTCCAGGCTTTTATGGTTTCCCATTAGAAAAAATAATGCCCATTTGGTGATTCTGTTCCTTTCCCTAAGGCACTTGAAGTTGTATCCTGTATTTCTGTCTGGTTCCTGGTAGTAGCTTCTCCTACCGCCATTGTTCAATTTTTTCTCACTTCCCCAGCTTGCTTATTTCTCCTGAGCCTCATGTTTGCATGTGTTTGGGTTTTTTGATTTTTTTTTTTTTCCTTTACTTTCACTTTGTACCCACAGCAAGTCCTGCAGTCTCTTTTCCCTGTTCCAAAGAGGGAAAAAAAGAATAAAACTCCTTGCCTTTACCACCTTTGTTCTGGTGGCAAAGCATGCACTTTCATTCTTTCCTCAAACATATATGGATGCTTGTACTCTTTAAGACAAACTCTGGCTTTCATGTGCCTTATCAATATGCTGCATGTAGTTGCTTCCCCTGGTGACAGCTTGTGTACATGAGGCAAGTATAAGTTCTTGTGACTTGCTGAGGAAAGAAAATAGGAGTTACACGTTATTTCTCTGAAAGAGAGGACAGATATGCCTAACTTGTTATGCCTGTCTCTACCACAAAGACAGTGAAAAATCTTTATGCCTCTCTTATCTTTATCCACAAAAATTATCCCATGCTTGCATTTTCTGTCTCTCTCCCAGCAAAAAATTATTACACTTTCCTTTCCTTGAAGATAAATCATAGATGGGAGAGCGAGCTTTCTCACCTGCTTCATTGACAAAACAAAAGTAGTTTCTTTCCTTGGGATAACACATTTCAAATACAGGTTCTTTTTATCTCCAATAAGAAATTTCTTCCACACCTGTTTTCTCAACCAAACTGTAGATATTCTTCCTTTTCTATCCTCTCCATAAGTATATATAAGTATTTCCAGATGCTTTCCCTGACATGTAGCTGCAGCCTTTTCTCTGTGTTTCCTTTGTATGCTGTCCTCTCTCATTCCTTCCTCTTGATGGTCCCCATGCTTTCTAATCTTCTCTTACCTCCTTAGGTGATATCTTGGTTCCCCCCATTTGTTATAGGTGAGCTCCTCTGGGGCTGCAGCCCGGGATGGACGTCTGAAAGTGGGAATGCGGATCCTGGAGGTGAATCACCAGAGTTTGCTGGGAATGACACATACAGAAGCAGTACAGATACTCCGAAGTGTGGGTGATGCACTCCTTGTGCTAGTGTGTGATGGCTTTGATCCCAAGGCTGCAGCTGCCATTGAGGTGAGAACTGATGTGCGGGGTGCCCTCATAATGACCAGTACCACAAGGATCCCACCTCTTTTTTGTCGTAGAAGATAGCTGGATTTTTCCAACCTTTTGCTGTAGATTTATTACTTTTTTTAGGTCCCAGATCTCAAAGCCTCGTCTCCTGCTATATGAACTGGAGGTGGTTGCCAGTTCATAAAAGCAATAGTCTCTAATGACTGTCTCTCTTCTGCTGATTACAACTGTTTCACAATATCACTGCACTGATACTAGTTTTCAAGCTAATTTTCTCCAGGCTATTTATGCCTATTTTTTCTTGTGCCAATGTTATATGTAAAGTAAATTGTCTGTTTATTGGTGTTTGCCTTTCCCCACAGGGAAGCACTTACCCATAGCAATCCTGTGCCTTCTCAGCTTTCTTTTTTTCAAGGCTTAGCAAGTAAGCTTTTTTTATTCTCCACTGGAATATGTACCCAGTCCCTGGTCACCTTATCCCCTTTTCTGTACCTGTTTCAATTTAAATTCATCTTTCTTAGACCTCAAGTTCCTTCAGTAATTGACAGCTGAAATAGGTTTCAAGTTGTGAGAGTTCTAACTTGCCTAGAATCATATTGGTATTCTGTGTCTGGGAGCCCAGGATCTGCAAGTTTTTGTATGGCACACACTGGGCTTCCACCTTTTTTTATTGCCTTTTTGCTTTGTAGATGTCCCCAGGAATTATTGCAAACCCTTTTGCTGCTGGTATTGGGCGCAAGAATAGCCTGGAAAGTATCTCTTCTATTGATCGGGATTTAAGCCCTGAAGAGCTGGAGATCCTACAGAAGGTGAGTATTCTGGCTACAGCTGGGAGAATGTTACGGAGTGGAAAAAGTTTCTGAAAATCTCTAGTGTCTTTCTCACTGCATGGAATCTGCAATATAATGGGTAGTGGACTTCCTTTTTATGGGATCAGCAGGTCCCAGCACTTTCATCAGGAATGCACTAGGACGGGACTCTGAAATTTTCATGAGGTTACAAGCACTCTCAGTGTGGAGAGAGCGCTGGGTGAAGTGGCTCTAACTTTGATCTCTCCTAGGAGATGGAAATGGTGAGAGAAGCAACTCAGTGGGAGAGAGAAGAAATGGAGAAAGTGGTGAGAGTTTTTTCATGTAGCAGAATCTGTTCTTGACAGCAGTTCTGCCAAGCCTGTTGAGCCCTAAGGAAAATGCCACAGATTATCTCTACCCAGCTGTTAATGCTATGGGGGGCTTTGGGCCTTCTCTCTTTGTAGTGCACCACTCAGTTACTCTAGCTGCTTTTTGGCTTTGCCATACCTTCCTATGTACCTCTTTGGTGGTACTCTTATGTCATTTACAGAGTTCATTTTTGTTACCTGCCGGTACTTTCTAGCCAAGCTGCAACTTTGAGAAAAATGGTCTATTAGCTTGGAACTCCCACACTTCATCAGTTCTCTCTATACAGCACTCCATGACTGGACAGAGCTTTTATGAGCAAAGATGAGAACACACAGCTCAAAGTTGCCCTGAATTGAAGAAGTGGCACTGTTAATCAATCACAAGTTTGTGCTCCTCGGTTTACTGAGATTATCAGATAATTTTTCTGATTCATTATGAGAATTTTGTATTTCTGTCTACTATTTCAGCCTTTCACAGAAATAAATTAGCAGAGTCAAGCCCCTCGAGGACCTGGGTTTTCTAGTTATCCCTCTTAAAACTGTAGTTTATTCAGTCAGATTCTTTTGGAAGATGAGGGAAAATGGAATTCTTCAGTATTGTCAATTAGGCATTTGCTCTCCTGTCAGATAAGTAAGTGTACATTTTGTAGGTGTTTCTTCAGGTTTCCAATTTAGATACACCTAATATTTCACTAGGCTCTTTCTGTAGTTGTAATCACTCAGGTTTTTTTACATTTGTGACCCCATGAGAGTGTACTTATGTTGACAATACTGGATGGAGGTGATCTTTGTAATTTAGTTAACACTTGAGATTTTACATGTTTTTGAAAAAAAGGTCAAGGTTTTGAATAGACAATGGCACAGACTGTAAGAGGACAGAGCAATGAACAAGAAGATGGTCGTATGACCTTGCAGGCATACAATATGTGTAATCATTAAATATACATGTATATTTCATATTTATATAATCCTATTCTGCCTGCTGTCAGTGACTGCAATACGCTCTGCAAGGTACAATTTTATGGACAACTGGGGTAGAAAGACAAAAGGGGCTCTGTGTGTTGCAGACTCCTTTTGGAAGCTTTGCTTTATCTTTCCTGGCCTAGAGCTTAGATGGATGTCAGCATGTCACATAGAATAGTTTGGGTTGGAAGGGACCTTTAACGGCCATCTAGTCCAGGCCCCTGCCATGACCAGGGACATCCCCAACCAGAGCAGGTTGCTCAGAGCCCCATCCAACCTGACCTTGAATGTTTCCAGGGATGCGGCATCTACCACCTCTCTGGGCAACCTGTGCCAGGGTTTCACCACCCTCATTGTGAAAAATGTCTTCCTTAGATCTAGTCTAAATCTACCCTATTTTAGTTTAAAACCATTACCCCTTGTCCTATCACTACAGGCCCTGCTAAAATGTTTGTCCCCATCTTTCTTATCAGCCCCCTTTAAGTACTGGAAGGCTGCAATAAAGTTTCCCGGGAGCCTCCTCTTCTCCAGGCTGAACAACCCCGACTCTCTCAGTCTGGCCTCCCAGCAGAGCTGTTCCATCCTTCTGAGCATTTCTGTGGCCTCCTCTGGACCCACTCCAACAGGTCCATGTCTTTCCTGTGCTGAGGACTCCAGGGCTGGACACAGTGCTCCAGGTGGGGTCTCACCAGAGTGGAGCAGAGGGGCAGAATCCCCTCCCTTGACCTGCTGGCCACGCTGCTTTGGATGCAGCCCAGGATATGGTTGGCCTTCTGGGCTGTGAGTGCACACTGCCAGCTCATGTCCAGCTTTTCATCCCCTGGTACCCCCAAGTCCTTCTCGGCAGGTCTGCTCTTCATCCCTTCACCTCCCAGCTGGTACTGATACTGGGGGTTCCCCTGACCCAGGTGCAGGACCCTGCACTTGTCCTTGTTAAGCCTTATGAGGTTCACATGAACCCACTTCTTGAGCTTGTCCAGGTCCCTCTGGATGGCATCCTCCCTCAGGCATGTCAGCTGCACCACTCAGCTTGGTGTAATCTGCAAACTTGCTGAGGATGCACTCGATCCCACTGTCTGTGTCATTAATATTAAAGAGTACTGGTCCCAACACGGACCCCTGAGGGACACTGCTCGTCACCAATCTCCATTTGGACATTGAGCTGTTGACCACCACCCTCTGGGTGCTATCATCCAACCAATTCCTCATCCACTGAACAGTCTCCCTTAAATCCATCTCTCTCAAATTTAGAGTTGTGGGGGACTGTGTGTTGTGGTTTAGCCCCAGCCGGCAACTTAGAATCATGCAGCCGCTCGCTCTCTCAGCTGTAGAAGAAAAGGCTCCGGGGAGATCTTATTGCAGCCTGCCAGGACTTAAAGGGGGTTTCTAAGAAAGATGAGGACAGAGTTTTCAGCAGGGCCTGTTGCGACAGGATGAGGGGTAATGGTTTTAAACTAAAGTAGGGTAGATTTAGACTAGATCTAAGGAAGACATTTTTCACAATGAGGGTGGTGGTAGATGTCTCATCCCTGGAAACATTCCAGATCAGGTTGGACGGGGCTCTGAGAAACCTGCTCTAGTTGAAGATGTCCCTGCAGGGGACAGGGGGTTGGATTAGTTGGCCTTTAAAGGTCCCTGCCAACCCAAAGGTTCTATGATTCTGTACAAGACTACTGTCAGCTTGAACACTCGCCTTACAGCTAATACTTGTCCAAGATAAGCATAACCAGATTCAGAATAGACTTTAGCTTAAATATCCTTAAATTATCCCTTTGGGTCTTGTGATCCTCCAGGGCATTATGTCTTCTCATGTTGCTCATTATTGTCTGGAGATTGGGGGTGTGATGTGGGACACTGATTATTTGGTAGTGGTAATACGGAAGGGCCTAGGTTCTTGCCACAATTTTTAATTAGCTCCATGTATTTCTCAGATGCCTTACACTTCCCGTACTTCCAGCCTTGGGACTTCTAGACCACCTGGTTGCTGCTGTTTGGGAGGAGGAATCAGGAGGGTTGCAATACGCAATAGAATGGAAGAAGGATGCTGCTTTTGTCCACAGCCCCTGCTCTGCAGCATAGGTGTTGGGCAAAAAGTCACAAAAAGAATGGTTTCTGTGCATTTGTACTTAAGACAAGTAACATACTACCTTTCTCTTGCAGCTTGGAAGCAAGCCTGTAGCTGGGGCTTGTGAGATTAGTCACTGGTCACTCATAATATTCCTGTGCTGCATTGAATGACTGAGAGCTGACCAGCTGATTTGAAGCCCTGCCTTATGCTTACACAATTTCTGTGTCTATATATAGTCTTTTGGCTGTGATGCTTGGGTTTTGTGGGTTTTTTTTAGATCTTTTTCCCTAGTGACAACTATGCCTGTGCTCTGTAGATTTGTTTTTCCATTCCCTTCCAGCGTCTCCAGTCTGTGCTCTGTGAAGTTGTCTCTTCTAGCAATAAGCAATCTTTTCCTTTCCCTTGGTGATGGTGTAGCTTAGGCTTGGGGAGGCTTTAGGTCCCTTCCGTTTCCCCAGGGTGGATCCTGCTGAGGATCTTGGAGACATCTGCTCTCTTCCCCTCACCTGGTGACACCCTGGCTTGTGTTGTATGGTGTGTCTGTTCCTGTCTGTTTTGCTGGCAATAACCAAGCTCGTGCAGAATTCCAGCTCCTATTTCCTCAGGCCCAACATATGTGCTGGGTTTCTGCTCACCCTTTCCTGGCGCCCGCACTGTTCATGCTCCTCTGTCCCCTCTCTGGAGTTACTGCCCAGCATGGTGCTGA